GTTTTATGTTAAGATAATTACATTATGTTGAGAATGTGACTAATAAGTTCAAAAACTTGAACATTAAAGAGGTTAATACTTCATTTGATTCAAATTTAACACTTATAAAGAATGATGGAAGAGCTATATCACAACTTGAGTATGCAAGTGCAACATAGCACAATTTGAGTATGAAAGTGCTATCGAAAGTCCAATGTATGTTGTGCAATGTACAAGACCCAACATAGCTTTAAAATTAGTAAACTTAATAGGTTTACTAGCAATCCAAGTAAAGAACATTGGAAGTCTATTGGGAGGGTTCTTGGTTATTTAAAGAAAATCAAAAAATCTAGGTCTCCAATATTCTAAGTTTATGGAATCCGAATTTATAGCATCGACTAAAACCAAAAAAGAAGCTGAATGACTTAGGGCTTTAATGTATGAAATTACATTGGAAGAAAATAATAATTCTTCCATATCTATCTTGTGTGATAGTTGGGCCACTTTATGTAGAATATACAATGACATGTATAATGGTAAGTCTAAACATATGAGTCTAAGACATGACTATGTGAGAAAATTAATCAAAAACTTCACCTATATAAATTTTGAGGTGGTGCCGCTTCAATAAAGAGTTGGAGTTTCACACCTTAAAAGCGCTGCCCGACCTTATGTTGCAATCACTGTGACCATTTTGTTGAATAGAGCGGGCACCTGGTTTCGAATTATGGTGTCGTTAGAAGGGTTTTACACTATTTTGATTTTATTTTTACACCTTTTCGTGCATGGTACTTGTAATTCTATATATATTGGTGGTTTTCATGATTGAAAATATATAACAAACATCAAATTCATTCATCAACATTCAAAATCAAAGGTCAAACCCAGTTTTTTATTTTGTTTTTCAAAGTTCCTTTTCCAAATTTTGATTGCTTGATTCATACTTGGATTAAGATTTGTTTACTCGTGCAAACTATTTGCCATTGAAACTTTAAGCATTTACCCCGATGGCGGCAAATATTGTTTGAGGAAAATAATTCATAATCCTATTCAAACCTTCCATTTGAAAATTTCTTGTTGCTTGTTTTAGGGCGTATTCGATAGAAATTAAAATCGAATTAAAATTGAAAAATTAACCGTTATTGTTGACTTTTATTATACGAGTGAGACCCAATAACGACTATATTTTCAATTTTAATTGAATTTTAAGGTTAGCCAAACATGTGATAATAATATTGAAGGCTTGCCAAATTTGAATACTTAGGGCGTTAGGGCGTGTTTGGTAGAGATTAAAATCGGATTAAAATTGAAAAACTAGCCGTTATTGTTGACTTTTATTAGACGAGTGAGACCTAATAACGGCTATATTTTCAATTTTAATTGGATTTTAATCACTCCCAAACATGCTCTATTTTCATTTTTCATCAACTTTGTTCAACATAATTAATATTTGAATTTGAACTTTAAAATACATGGAAAAGAATTGACACCCAAAATATCAAACCAGCTTTTAGTGCCTGCTGTTCTAAGGATGCCTAACTATTGCATCGATCAGTAGCCTATTACTCTGTCGTCAAATAAGAATTTCAAACACTTTAACCTTTTTTTTTTTTTGCAAACTCAACTAAAAGTAGATTTTTATGAAAGTCGTTGAAAATATATAATTTAAAATTTTGATAAAAATTATGAATTTCATAAAATAAGCAGTTGATAATGAATCTAAAAAAAATTAATTTTAAAAATTGGAGCAAACAAGGCTAAGCCTACGCTTGAGCTCTATTTTCCCCAAAACTAAAGGGTTGTTCTCTTTGCTGTTTTCATGCCGTTTTTTATTTTTGATTTTTCAAAACAGTGAAAAAGCATTTTCATTCCTATTTTCGAAAATGAATTTTTGAGGAAAAAAATTGCACTGAAAACTCAAAACGTCAAAAAGACGTTTTGAGCGTTTTCAAGCCAAAACATGGAAATGAATCAAAACACGGAAACACACCCAAATTAAAAAAAACCTTCCTGTACGTGAACTTATCTATCACATATCCTCTCTCCAGTAAGATTCATTTCAGGGCAGTTGTTCTCTAGGGTTTGCTCTGTCCTCCCATTACTTGATTGGAGCAGATCAAAGAATCAAAGGCTCAATCGAATGCTTATCCTTATCTCCTATCCTCATCTCCTATTTTCCACGCAATACTATCTTCAAATCTAGGTAATGCTTTGGTGTTATATTCTCTGATTTGGATTTTTTTTTCTTTGGTGTTTTAGATCATTCAAAAGTATAATGGGATTATTTTGCTAGATCTATAAGAATAATAAAATGTTTTCTTAAAATATTTGTTAAAAGAAGGCAGCGCATGGTGTAAATTGGTATTAAAATTCACCTTATCAAACCCTTGTGGCAGTGAATTATTTGAGGCTGCTACATGTATGTAGACTTGATCCATTTGGATAGTTGGGATTAGATTAGAGTTTGAATTCATTGAGTTCAAACTATTTGTTAATAATTTGATCCAAGGACACAAACAACTTTTGGTTTTTAGTCATAATGAAGTTCTTTATTCAAGGTTCTTTATTGAATTGCCTCTATTGTGTCATGCCAATTAGATCTGTTTCCATGACATTGATATGTCAGAATTAGTACATGGATATGATCACCATTCTTAGTTTTATGTTTGATATAATTTGTGTGTTATGTGACTATAATTAAATACTTAAATACGTCTTCAAATCGCCTATGGGAGGACTTATATATTTCTTGATAATTTTATTTATATTCAATATAGAATATGGGTGGTCACAGAATTAATAATAAGAAATCAATGTCATGGTCGGATGAGATTGAACATGCTTTTATTGAAATTCTTTACAAGAAAGTGAAATCAAACGCATTGCAATGTTCTTCATTCACGAAAGACAAATGGGGTAGGATCAATGAAACAATGATAGCTTCAACAAAACTGGATTACAGGTGATAATGTGAGTACCGATGATTCTATTGATGAAGATTCGAGTGATGATAATTTTTTATTTATGGATGATTTTGACGCAAAATTTGAAGATTTAATTATACTTAATTGCTTTGTTGCTAACAAAGAAAGTACCATCAGCAGGAGACCTTATATGATATCATTGCTTACTGGAAAAATGTACATGCTAGAAATTCTGAATGGATATCCGGACGTGTGCTATCGTAATTTTCATATGCAAAAACACGTTTTTATGATTTTTTGTGATATTTTGAAAGAGAAATGACCGTTGAAAGATGGTAAAAAGTGAGCATCCATGTGGGTGTTGTTATGTTTCTGATAATTATAAGGCACACTAAACGTTACATTATTATCGATGATAGGTTTCAGCATTCCAACAATACGATACACAAATGGTTTAAACGAGTTGTAAGAGTTGTTTGTTCATTTGACACTAAGATAATTCGTCCGACAAATCAAGACATTGTGCATAAGCGGATTTTGCGTAAATATCCTTTCTTTAAGGATTGTATAAGCTCAATAGATAGAACATATGTTGCAGTTTGGGAACTTGCATCGAGACAAATATCTTTTTGCGGAAGGAAATTAATGTAAACACAAAATGTGATGTTGACATGTGATTTTGATATGAAATTCACATTTGTGTATTCTGGTTTAGAAGGTACTACTAATGATTCACGAGTATTCGTTGACGCAGTCACGAGAAGCTCGAACAACTTTCCAATGCCACGGAGAGGTATATTCTTATTCTTCAAATAATTATTGCGAATATATTTACAGTGTTACACTATGTAAGTCTTTTTTTATTTTACAGATCAATTTTACCTTGTTGATTCTAGCTACCCAAACATCCCTAGATTTCTTGCCCTTTATCGAGGTCAAAGATATCATCTGCGTGACTATGTTGGACGGGGTGACTAAGTGAAAAGGAAGAATTGTTCAACTATATACACTCATCGTGTCGTAACATTATTGAAATTGATTACAAATTATCAACTGGAAGAGACAAATCCCTACTGCATGTTGCACAATAAACAACTTTATTCGTCAGGAACACGCTTTAGATACGTTGTTCGCTTAGTATTCAGAGGAGAATATGATGTTTCAAGATATACCGGAGTCAAGTCAAGATCAAGAAGTCATACATTTTAATACTTGTCAAACAGCTCAAATGAGACAAGTCAGAGATCAAATTGCTACACAAATGTGAAATGACTACTCAAGACGTCGTACATGATTCAATGGATTTATTTTATATTTTGTTTAGTATTTTCTTGTTTTGCCATGACACGTAAATTTCTAATCGTATTTATTGAATTGTTTTTCCAAATTTAATTTATGTAGTGTCTTTTATATTGAAAAAATATATTTCAAGATTCGCCAACTTCAAAATTTATATGTTATTTAATACTATATTAACATTAAACAATTAAAATTTATTGAATAAAATATTATTAAAAAAATTCTCAAAATTTCAAATTAAATGCATTTTTCAGTTATCTGTTTTGAGAAATAATTTTTCAGAATGACAAAGAGAACGTATTTTCAATAATTTCAAAACAGACTCAAAATATAAAACTCAAAATGAATTCAAAACTCAAACACGAAGAGAACGTCTCCTAATTTTTTCTAAATCTCATGTTTAATTACTTGTTCTTTCGTAAAATAATTTTATACACAAGCTTAAAATTTTCTTCTAACANGAAAAATTGTTTTGAAAACAACCAAAACCCGTTTTGAAAATTTTGGTTTGATTATAACTAAAAAAATCCAAAACGACAATGTTTTCTTTATAAATTTTTAATTTGTTTTCAAAAACGCGTTTTCGAAAATAGGAAAGAGAACGAGTTTTGGGCGTTTTCGAAAATCGAAAATAGAAAACGGTCCGAAAACGATAAAGAGAACAGGCCCTTATTTTTGAAATAAAGCTGTCCAAACAAGGCCTAGCGTTTGTAACACGCATCCTGAAAGGTTTGGAGATCAACCTATAAAAGGTTTGGGAGTAATCAATCAATCGAAGCAGAAACACCATCATCGTCGATGTCCGTACACGACCAGGCGGCGGCGGCGGTCCTATCTCAGTTAGCACTGGCTGCCGATGGTGCCGTCCTCGGCATTGCCTTAGCTTACGTTGCAATCCGCAGTATCCTCAAATTCACTGCCACTACATCAGCTCTCCGCAAAATCGACAATGCGCCTTCTGTCCAACCTTCCGACCTCCGTTCTCTCCTCTCCAGCTGTAATACGGATAGTAATAGTAATACTTGTACGAGCGGAAATACAAATCAATCGAACAGTGATGGTGGTGGAAAACTCATAATTGTTCGCGGCTGCGTGGAGGCGAAATCAGCGGTGGAGGGGCAAGGGATGATCCTGAGAGGTAATACTAGTAACATTGTTGTTTCTCAGGAGTCGCGAGAGAAAGGCGTTATCTTACAGCGAACTCAAACTGTATGTTTTACATCTTTTTTCTGGTTACAATTTTGTTACATGCGCAGCGCTATAGGTTTACTAATTTTATCGAATTGAAAGATTTTTTTGTGGAATTGTGACTTCTTTTGGATTCACTCCGATTATGGATTTTCAAAATTTTGAGCAAATTTGTAAAATTTCCTACTGTATGTTAAAAGCGTGGAAGTTCAACTTGTGATTGGGGAAAAAGAGAGAAGGTTTGAATTTTGAGCTTAGATAAAAGTTTATTTGGATTTGGTGGTACTTCAAGTTTGAGGAACTGTATTGAACTTGGAATTATGAAGCAAGATTGATCCATCATTTTTTCACTCTTTTTTAGAGTGTCAAGTTTGATTCTGAATGCTCTCACCTGTTACGAACCATAAAAATTTCTTAACTACCCTTGCCTAATGAAGAAGTGGATGTGCAAATGTAACTGGATTAAATGTCAGCTTTCAGTCCGTGAAGCTGCACTAACCTTGTTCTTATCTTTCTTGTGCGGGTGGGTACAAATGAATCTTTTTTGGAAGAAGAAAAACATTAAACCCAGAGATCAATATTTTTATTGTGACCACTAGAAACTCTCGTTTGGAACTGTCTCTGCTGATCTTTATTGTTGCTTGTCATATAAACTTAATACAGGGCACACACACACACACATTTATTTATTTTTTTGTGTGTCCCTTTCATCTCCGGAAGTGCATTCATAACGAATGGAGGGGTTTCTTTGGATGGACTTCTGAACTACGCTCTATACTTGCAAGATCCTGGAAAGACCAAGAGACCTCCACAATAAGAACGGTAATTTGCTATAACTGAGACAGTCATCTTAAATTTTAGTTCTTCACCAATTGATATTTGTACCTCTATATGCTTTTCTGTGAAATCATACGTAATGATAGATTGGACAACTAGGATATAATCACTCTATTTGAACGTACATGGAATGATACAGTCAGGGGCGGACACAAAACTTAAAAGTTAGGGGGGCACAATCGAACTTGCAAAAAAGTTGAGAGAAATTTTACAATCGAAAATTTACGTCCAAAAAAATCATATCCCATGTAATTTTACATCCGAAAATTTACATAGAATATGACTTTTTCGGATGTAAAATTTCGAAATTTTTTTATGTCATATTCCATATAAAATTTCCTAATAAAATGATGAAAATTACAATGAGAAATTTATATCGTAAAAAAATAAATGTTAATGAAATAATTGAATTTTTAAAAAAAATGCGAGTTAGACTTTTTTTTAAGACTCACGTTTAACGTATTTTTAACTATTTTCGATATCTATTTGGACTATTTGATATGCTCATAATACAGTTCTCGAAATAAGTTTTGAGATTAGATATGCAATTTATAGATTCGATTAGCGTACGATCGTCGGAGAATTTTTAAAATTAGCATTTTATCGAAATTCAAATTTATTGTGATTTTGCCCATGTTTGGTGGAGATTAAAATCAAATTCTTAGTAAATTTGATGAAAGTTAAAACAATTATGGATTCCATGAAATATGTTACTAAAATTAATTGTTAACTTTGATTTAGATTAAAATTTAGATTTCAATCGATACCAAACACGATTTTATATAAAAAAAAAAAAATCTCAAAAGTTGGGGGCACTTGCCCCCTAGGTCCGCCCCTGGATACAGTCTAATATTTGATAGGGCACAGTCTCTGATGTGAACATGGTGTATTATTGTCCTTTTGAGATTTTATTTCTCAAGTCTACATGCATAAGATCTTCATATGAAGCAATGCCCACTGATATACAATCAGGGATCTTGAAAACAAATCTTACTTAGTCCAATTTCTTTCATTTCTTTTGCTGCCGAATATACTGTTCTAGCAACTAATTTAACTGTTTAAGCCGCTTACAGATTCTTACCTAGTTACTTTCACCTTATTTTTTGCTTTTGCTAGCCTGTCTTTCTCAATAATAATATAAATATTTCTTGCACATAGTTTCATTCATCGACGCTGAACTTGATATATATTTTCTTCTTGTTCTAAATATCCGTAAAAGATTAGATCCTCTAAGGTGCTACCACTAGTCTAAGATTTTTTTTGGAGGGGAATTTCGATGCTGAATTGATTTTCGGGAAGTTTTAAATCAGGGTTTTGTTCTGGGATTTGCTTTTAAGTATGCAGGACATCACGGGCCTTGGCAATTTCGATATGTGGCTCTTTCTGTAAAAATAAAATAAAATTGAGAAATTAAAAATTTCCTTCTCAAGGCTGCCTTTTTGGATAAAATTCAAGTATTCTTACTGTTTTGGTTTGTCACTGTTTGTATGTTTTCCAGATACAACATTAATGTTGCGTCTCATGACATGTCATCAATAGGTTCCTTTTGTTCTCGTTGAAGCTGGAAGGAGGCCTCAGCCTGGTTATGTTATTGTCAACATGGAAGGATCAAGACATTCACTACCTCTGACAACAGTTTACCACCACTTGCAGCCTATAAGTGCTTCTCCTTACACATTTCTACAGGCACTTTTTGGCCACGAGTACCCTGTGAGTTGAATGTGAAATATGAAGACTCTTTATGATATTGAGAACAAATAAATGCAAGTCTCATCTTTCTTTCTAGTTTCTCCCCACTGAACGGCTTTTGATTTTTTCTTTTCCTGAAGGTTGGACTGCTTGATGAAGAGAAAATACTTCCACTTGGAAAAAATATAACAGCGGTAGGCATTTGCAGCTTGAGAAATGGGTCTCCAGAAATCAAATCATGCAAAGATCTTCCTTATTTTTTGTAAGGGTGCTTACTTTTGAAACATTTAATTATAATTACAGACTTAAAATTTGAAGGTAAATTTATTCTCAAGGTAATATCATAGGAGGTCCCTCTGTGGAAAATTCCTTTTTCATGACTACTTTGTCATTATTTGGTCCTTGTCCATAGGTGTATTTTACTATTGCCCATGTTTGAGCCTCATTCTTTAAAACTTATTTTCAATCACACATTCTTCCAATAAAATAATTTTTCACATAAACCTAAAATTTTAACCTACTTTTTAACCAAACATTCTCCGAAAAAAAAAAATATCATTTTTTTACAAAATGGAGCTCATGATTGATGGAAGTTAGTTAATGTTGACATTTTTTTTTCCGGAAGAAAATACTAGTTACTTGGACAAGCTAATCCGTAATTTGTTCTATTTGTGAATTTGAATGAATTCTTCATTATTTTGCTTCTGCTCTCCTTTTTTCCTTCTCTTTCTGTGGATATTTTATTTTTGCAGAATTGTTCTTGTAGGTCTGACTTGACTAAGGATCAAATCATGGCAGATCTCACCTTCAAAACTAAAGTATTACTGTTGAGTGGAGTTGTGTTTGGTTCACTAGCAATAGGTATCCTTGGCTATGCTATTCAAAGGTACTGTCGCTCCAACTTTATAGCTTCTTAGGAACTAAAAGGCTATTTGTCAGAAAAGCATCATTTTTCAATGTCCACATTTTGAGAGTTCTGCAATCCTCATGTTAACTTCATTAGTGATGTAGTGGAAAAAGTCTGACCTAATTACCTTCCAAATGCAATTATACCCATGTTCATCTCCCTTGAAAAGTTAAAACAAACTCTTTAATTTTCATACTCATTTTCAAATGTACATTCACACAATAAAATATTTTATACATAAACTTAAAACTTTTCCTTACTTTTTAACCGCACATTCTTCAAAAAATAATTATTCAGAACGTCATTTTTTCTTAATAGTGGCAACCAAACAAGGACTATGTTACCAGAAAGATTTAACTTTATAAAATTTAGCAGAATAAATTAAATATATATTGTAGCTCTCAATGCTTGAAATGTTAACACGTTAGATCTGCAAATCTTGTACTTCCTGTTAATAGATAAACTAAAGGATAGAACTTTAGGAAGCAAATGCTACATGAGAAATGTGCTTCCTTTAAAGTTTATCTGATCTCAGGAAATAGTGTAGTGTTTTTACTTAGCAAGATGGATGGTTTGGTCCATTATCACTGTGGATATAGAGGCTCTAACTTACAACCAGCATATCATTTCAGAAATCCTGTCACTACAGAATAAAGAGGCCTTAGAATAAGAAAAAAGAAAGAAAAAGTGGAATGAAAAGACACCTTCCCTGTTTTAACTTTTCATGGTGTTATGCATCAAATTCAAACCTTCTTTATGTTTGAATACATCTGCTGTGTCTCTTCCCTGTAAAGAAATGAATTTCCATTCACAGGTTCTCATGAAAATGTAGACTTGATTATTTAGTTTTGTGTGTGTGTGCGTGCACGCTAGTTTAGTAGATGTAGAATGGTGTCATTTTTTTTTTCTTGCTGTAATTTAATGCTGAACAACCATATTTTTCTATTGTTTATCTGGTATTTTTCTTTGTTGTTTGCTTGAGTGCACAATACTCACCTGATTAGGCTTTGGTTAATCTATACACTCCACATCAATAGGTTGACTATAGTGCTATGCATTGCACATTTTCATGTTTTAAGACCTCCTTCGTGTATATTCCAGCAAATGAATTTCCATTCATCTGTTCATTTACGTGAACATTCATGTTAAAATGCAAACTTAATCCTTTACCTATTGGTCCATTAGATGTAGCATGGTGTTGATTACTTTTCTAGTTACTAAATGCTCGCGGTGTGGAACTTCATTTCCTGTTGTTTGTCTGGTAACTTTGTCATACTACTTTTCATTTGTAAGTGCAGAATATAAACCTCGTTTGAATTAATAATCTCTCTATTCCACATTCAACCGGAGTGAATCTAGATCAATTGGATTGGATTCTAACTAAAAATTGTTGAAAGGTCAATTGTGAATATATGACTGTCTTTTATATTAGGCAGGTATAGTTGACCGTGAGAGTAAAATTACTGAACTACATTTTGTTTTGTAACACGAAACGTAAATTCTATATTCTTTTCAAACCATTTGAATTTATGAAGTGATAATAGTATGATGTTTTAAGATGTGTTGAACTACTAGAAATAACAGTTGGGTTTATTCATGATGTTAGGAACTGGAATAGATGGAAAGATTGGAGACAACAGAGGCAAGCACAACAAAACAATTCTGCCAGTAATGATGTTTCTCCTCAGATTGCAGCAGCCGAAGAGACTGGAGACGTTCCTGATGGAGAGCTTTGTGTGATTTGCTTGATGAGAAGGCGTAGATCTGCTTTCATTCCTTGTGGACATCTGGTCTGCTGCCAGCGTTGTGCCCTATCAGTTGAACGTGAAATATCACCTAAGTGTCCCGTATGTAGGCAGACAATTCGGAATTCTGTAAGAATATATGATGCTTGAGGATGACTTGAGTTTTATGGATTTCAGAATGTTGTATTCACTATAAAACATAAGTAAACACTACATTGTCAAAATCATTCTAAAATAAGGAAAGAAAAGATTGACGCCACAACTACATCAACTGCCACAAGGTTTCTAGTGATAAGATTATTTGTTAGTAGTTCGAATTCGGAGGAGAACATCGGTATACATAATTTTGCAGATTTTTTTTCAAAATGGAAAAAGAAATCCAAATCTCAAGATAGGGTTATTATTTGGTCCGTTTGAGGAAATTAAATGAGCCGTTAGAAGTTATGCAATCTTCAATCGGGTTGAACCAATTTTCAAGCGAAATGATAAGAGTTGAGTGCATTATGTTTGTAAGGATGGTTGTCCATGAAAGTTGTGGACTCTCAGCTACAAGGTCGAGACCCTGTGCAAATAAAAACATATGACCCTAAACATACGTGCTTAAAGGTACATACGTGAAGAAATTGGAGAAAGAAGGAACTTTTATTCATACTGATTTCATAAGTATCACAAGTATATATAGAGAGATACCTCCACACATAATTCTAGCATATATCACGTAATTAGCCTAGGATTATGGATGTACAGTCATCAGTTCCTAATTCTAAGTTTATACAGGAATTATCTCCACTAATTTAGGATGGCATCTCCACTAATTTAGGATGCCATATATACACAGAATATTCTTCTATGCTCCGATAATACGAATAAGTACTTAACGTATAAGCGGCTTGCGAACTATTAATTGGAGGATTTTAGAGCCGGTTTTTAATGGAAGGCAAAACATTTCAGATCTAGAGAAAGGATTTAAGAGTGCATATTACAAATTTAGATGCACGGAATATTAGGAACAATGCCAAAATTTTAATCGAAGGGAATGAATTAGAACAATTTGCTATGTTAAGTTGTTATGCCGAGGAATTGAGGAGAACAAATCTTGGTTCTACTGTGATCATTACTCATGCAAAAAATGTGTTCGGGAGTATTTATGTTTGGAGAGAGGTCTATAAGAGAGGTTTTCTACAAGGGTGTAGGCATTTTATTAGTATTGATGGATGTTTTTTAAAATGAAAATATGATAGGCAACTTCTAGCAACAATTGGAGTAGACGCCAACGATTGTACATATTCAATTGCATATGCAATCGTTGAGAAAGAGAACACCAGTTCAGGTCGAAAGTTTTTGATGATGGGCAACTTCAAGCAACAGTTGGGGTAGACGCCAACGATTGTACATATTCAATTGCATATGCAATTGTTGAGAAAGAGAACACCAGTTCATGTCGAAAGTTTTTGATGTTGTTTGAAGACCTAGCTATGGAGAATTGATTATATGTTACCTTCACAAGTAGACAGAAAAGACTAGTTAATGTTGTGGCAGATTTTTTTCGGAAGCGAAACACCGGTTTTGTGTTAGGCATATATAGGAGTGACTTCAAGGGTAAGCAATTGAAGGATTACTTGTGGGGTGTAGCTGTAGGAGATATTACACCGATAATGTGCATATTATATTCATCAAGAGCATGCCGTTAATATGCGTGAAATCGAAACATCATTCGACTTACCGAAATCTGATTTGAGAAGATAAAATAGC